TCTGATTAAGTGATTAGCTATAACGTTTTGATGATAAATCTGAAATTGCATTTTATTATTTATTTACTTATTTAACTTTGGTATGTGTATGTGAAAATGAAAAATATCATTGTGGAGTTTCTCGCATGCTATTTTTAAGGTAATATGGTTGAGATTAAGTATAATTATGTTTCATTATTAAAACTATTAACTTTTTAATTAAAAACACTTGAATTTTATTTTATTTCTTTTTAGTTTTTCCTTTAGTTCCTTTTTAGTTCAGGAATATTAAAAGAGAATTAAAAATTACTATTAAAGAAGATAAAGCACAATGAAACTTTGCTAAGGGATATTTGTTCTTTACTTTAGACTGAGCTTATTATCAAAGTTTAAACATATTTCTCATTGAAAGCTGTTTTGAATGTAACAATTATATTTGGCGATTTTCTAGAGAGAGTTTTTCTTTAGATTCTGAATAAATTAAAACGGTCAAGCTGACACCCTGTCAGAAAATGAATTCCAAATGTAACCTTTTAATCTTTCAACTACAAACAATTTGGAATAATGTTTTTAATTTTCATTTTATTTATTTATTTTTTGGGGGGGATGGAACAACTCTTAGAAGTCGACATATCTACAAATTTAAGTACAATCACCTCAAACTATAGTAATAAATATGTAGCATTTTATTAGAGATTGTGAAGATGGCAGAGAACAATGTATATAATAACATCTAATAAAATTTTGTAACTACATAAATATATATATATAGTCATCAGGTCCAAAGTTCATCGTTTTTAGATTCTAAGTATACATATTATATAAATTCATCATTCATTAATAGCATTATGTATAGTAATAGAAAATTAGTATTAATATTTCAAATTGTAATTTTTTAATAATTTGACTTGCATTTGCTGTATATTTGTTCAAGACGTATGGATATCAGTTATATAACATGGAAAATACACAGAAAGCAGCAAATCTTATATAACAGCTGATTGTGAAAGAAAAATTACAGTGCTTTTAATTACAGTTATAGTGCTTTAAGTCTCCCTATTGTAAATAGCAGTTTTCTAATCAACATTAGATTAAATTAATTCCATTATCCATTAGAAAATAATTATAGTAAATTATATCTATTGAGGACATTTCTAAGAGGTCGCCTTTTGAAAGACACCTGCATTTCTTGTGAACATAAACGAAAATTGCCATCGAATATCACATTTCTAAGACCACCATATCTTCAACCAAAATCCTTTAAAACCGTGAACCGAATAATTGTTACATTCAAAGCAGCTCTCAATGAGAAATATCTTTAAACTTTGATAATAAGCTCAGTCTAAAGTAAAGAATAAAATATCTCTTAGCCAAGTTTTCATTGTGCTTAACTGTTTTAATATTCCTAAACTAAAAAGGAACTAAAGGAAAAACTAAAAAGAAATAAACTAAAATTCAAGTGTTTTTAATTAAAAAGTTAATAGTTTTAATAATGAAATATAATTATACTTAATCTCAGTCATATTACCTTAAAAATAGCATGTGAGAAAACTCCACAATGATATTTTTCATTTTCTCATACACACACCAAAGTTAAATAAGTAAATAAATAATAAAATGCAATTTCAGATTTATCATCGAAATGTTATAGCTAATCACTTAATCAGAGAGTAGAAAGTTTGCTTTCAACCTAATAAATTAAACAAATAAAGTAGTGATAAAATATACAACTATTTGAGACATTAAATTCAGATCTGAATACTCCATTTATTATAATTAAAATTATAAATATATAAAAGAATTAAAAAAGCATAAATCTCTTTTGATTATGTGCGCTTTCATCAGTGTGGGCTTTTATCAGTATGGGCTTATATCTATGTGGGCTTTCATCAATGTGCGCTTTCATCGCTGTGGGTATTTGTCATGTGGGCTTTCTTTTGTGGGCTTTTGTCGCCTGCGCTTTCGTCTGGGAACCTCTAAAAGTATATTATCTGTGGTCTCCTCGTGAAAGAAACGACAAATCATATCATCTGAATCACCAAAGTTTGAGATTCCTCGCTTCATTGCCTTTGCGGCTGATAACAAATGTTTGCCAATTTCTAAGTACATCAGTGAGCTCAATAGATTTTTGTATGTTTCCAACCGTCACGCACATGTCAATGTCCCCACAGCCATATGCTGGTATTGTCTGTTTGTTACTGACTGTGATTTCTGCTTGTTTGTCAAAGTGACGGTATGTCTTGAAATAATCGGCTAAATTTGTTATGTGTGCTGTAGCTCCATCATCTTTAAGCCACACATTTCGACCACAATCATCTTGACAAGCAATTGCACTGCATTGAATATTTGCAAAGAAGGTCTCTGTTTTGCCATTTGTCGTGGTTGGCATGTCAGGAAAAACTGGGCAAAATTTACCAATGTGCCCGGATTTCTTTCAATGAAAACAGACGCCATTGAAACCTTTCACACCATCACTGGTCTTACTAAGTCTGTTCTTTGGCATTATAATGCCAAAACGATCACTATACCTTGACAACAAATATGTTGTCAAGGGTGGGATTGGCTCACCATCTGAGGTTTTTTACCACCCTTCTTCCATTTCTTTCCACTATGTTTTGCACTATAATTAGCATTTGCCACAACTTTCGTTTCTAAGCTCTTGATTTCTTTGTAGCCGCATGTTGATCTGCTCGATCAGTTTTTCAGGTGGCTTTTCTGTCTTTGGCATTGAGTCCCACTGTGATTTGAACTCGATATATTCGTCATTACGAAGAATAGATAAGATTCGCAGTGCTACCAAGTTTTGCGGCAACTTTCCTTCGCCGCTCAATTCTTGCTCACGTTGAAGATCCACCCACAGTGTATGTAAACGTGTGAGTAATTGCACGTTTATGTACACTTACATCTATTACACTTTCGTCTTTCTCAATCCGAAAAGTGAAAAACTGTTGCAGAAGATTATCCAATTTCAAGCTTGACACCTTTTCAAAATTACTTAATAACTCATTCCTTATCACTAGTGCAGAATTACCATGCATACGGATCAAATTTAACACATTCGGTGATACATTTGTGCGAATGATCACGGCAGCTTTTGCATTCGCCGTTGCATACGCTTTTGCGGCTTCCTTGTACTTGCTTATCATTTTTTCATTCGCGCCTTCTGCCGGAGCTTTTCGCTCGATAAGGGAATTATCGAAAATGCCCGCACAACCGTTGAGCACAAATAAAGAGTTTATTTCAAATTTCCAATCAGTCCAGTTGGATAAACCTTCCAATTTGGTGCACTCAACAAAATTTTTAGCTTCCATATTACGTCATCATTAACCAGGAAATATGCAGCAAAAAAAGGCTATCGGTACACTGTAGCATCTACCTACACACTGTTCAGGTGGAAGTGTTGAAATCAAAAATGAAAGTAAAAAAAATACATGATTCAAATAAGTCAACATAGCCATCGTTAATTTATTTGTGCAGTTAAACATCGCTAAAACCCATAACCTGTTATAAAATTAACAAATAGAGTGATGGCTAATTGAATTTTTGAACTTTATTAACAAAAAAAGTAAAGAGAACTTACTTACGTCTTATTGTTCACATGACAATTTTTAGAATGACAAAAATAATAGTGATGCCAAATGCATAAAACATAATAAAAACAATGATGCCATTGAAACTGCACATAATATCAATTACATGCTCGATTCTCAACAGCTTTCATCATTGCTTGTTTATCAATACTGTGTGGAGCATCGCTAGATCATGGGAGGATGTGCTCCAGATACTTAAAAAATTCTTGGCATAATTTATGGCCAGCTACCATATTTCATGGTGAGGATGATGAAGATGATATTTGCGAATTTGAAGGTTTTTGGATATTGCAAACCAAAGGCAAAATTTTCCAGTTAATGGATTTTGTAAAGAAATGGGAGAAGCGGTAATAAATGAAGATGATATAACACATATAAGAGAAGTTTTTCATTCCGATGATGATGCCTCAATCATCAATCAGTTAAGTGAGTGCAAAATCTGTAGCATGGTTCTAGATCCAGAAAATAACGCTATCGATAGTGAAGAAAGTGACAGATAGGTTATTGTAAATGAAAAAATTTCAATTGACAAGTCTGGACACAACAATTACAGGACTTGAACAGTGGAACTTTATAACTGAACAAGAAATTATATCTGTTTGTAGAATTAAAGAGAAGTATTAGCACAAAATATGAAGCAATTTAAACAACTTACATTGAAATAAATGTTTAATAAACTAAACAAATAAATAAAAAGCCTTTTTTTTTTTTTTCTTTAATTTTGATACCCTTTAGATCATAAATGCTCTTTATTTCATAAATCACTATTTCACATTTTTAATTGTATAATTTCTGCATGCCATCTTACTGGATTTAAATTGATGATCTAATATCCTGGAATTGCCAAAGTCCCGACGAGTCCGGATCTCGGACTTTGTACTGCGCTTGTTTCTTGTATGACCACATTATTTTGAAATTATAACTTTTATCAGGAAATGAAAAACATATTAAGCATTTCTTATGTCATTTTTACATTGCTTTTCATTATAATAAATCATCAGTAATACCCCTAGCAGCAAGGTTTCAAATTTTTACCAAACCATATTCCATTACATTACGAGTATTATGAAACATTTTTTGTTATTCTGACCAGTAATTTTCTTCTTTTGAACCATTCTGAAATGTGAATTTTAATTGTGATCTACATGTATCTGAGCAAAATAATTGCTAATAATTCCCAGCAAAGAATTCAAAAAACTCATTATAATTAAGATCAGAAATGAATATTCCAAGTTACTGTACATTTTCCGTCTTTGTATTACAACTTATGATTGGGAATGTTTTAAACATAAATTTGTTCTTACAAGTTACATTACTTCTTTGGAGAGGGGGGGGGGGGTAGATTTCTAAAAATTAATTAAATGTGCAATAATAAAAGAACAGAAAAAGAAAGCTTGTCTTTGATTGCCAATCTCCTACCTTTATAGGTTATTGAAATGTATGGATGAGATACTGACTCATATTCTTATCAGTTGTAACCAGAGCATATCATGTGCACACCTCATTCTGAACTTCCTTATAAATGTGTGTGTATATAAAGATTTTGCATCACAATTAATTCATAAAAGTGGTAAGTATTGCTTTGAAAACTATGTCTGTAATTGAACTGTGAAACATGGATCTTTTATTTATTGTAGTGATAACTCTGATTTACTGTAGACTGATATGCTAACCCCTACATCACAAAGGTACATGAAAAGAATGCCTTAATTCCTTATATGTGTTTTATTCTTACAGATGTAATTTCTACAAATTTAATCCACTATTTTGTGTTCTATTGAACACTGTAGCTGAGTAGATTTTAAGGATTTCCATTTATTGCTAACATAATAATAGATTCATTAGTCTGTGGTCTGTGGAATGCTGGTGTTCAGTGAAGCCCTTTTCTGTGAAAAAAACTGTTCTGTGTTCATATTCTGTGAAACAAAAATCAAATACAGTACAAAGTCCGTAATCCGAACGTCTATTATCCGGAATGATCTATAACCGGATCTCAAAGCCACAAACTTATGCATGCGCATAAAGCCAGTAAAGCATTTACACATGTGAGCTTCCGCTAATGAAGAAAGTGACAGAGAGGTTATTGAAAACGAAAAAATTTCGATTGACAAGTTAGTCGGTATTCTCGACACAGCAATTACAGGATTTAAACAGTGGAACTTTGTAACTGAACAAGAAATTATGTCTGTTTATAGAAGAGAGAATTAAAGAGAAAGTATTACCACAAAAGATGAAGCAACTTAAATAATTTACATTGAAAGAAATGTTTAATAAAATAAACAAATAAATATTAAGCTTTTTTTTTTTGTAAATTTTGATACCCTTTAGATCATAATTGCTCTTTATTTCATAAATTACGATTTCATATTTTTAATTGTATAATTTCTGCATGCCATCTTACCAGATTTAAATTGATGATCTATAATCCGGAATCGCCGAAGTCCCGACGAGTCCGGATTATGGACTTTGTACTGTATGCAATTAAAAATTGTTGCAAAAGAAAAATTAATACAATATCAAATAATTTTTATGAGATTGTAATCAACAAGCATAAAAAGCAATTAAACTTTTTAATTTTGTATGTGGTATCTGCTATGAAAAATGATGTTGTGTACTAGACCGAGATATACAACGAAACTAGGCTACCTAGGTGAGTTATGTCACAAAGATTATCAAAGTATGGATCCATTTACTGATATCCAAGAGTGAGGCTGTAGGTTGATCATCATAATAAAAATGTTGGACATAAGGAATGTGAAAACAAAAGTAAAAAAGCTCAATAAAGAAACGATTTTTAAAAGAAAAGTATTGTATGAAAAGCTGAGCTGAAAGCGCAATAATCGATTCTGAACTTGAAGTTAGCAGTGCTGTGGATTTCCACTGAACAAACAGAACATTCTCTCCACCAGTAACCCAGTTTTGATTTCTACATGAATTTACATCTGCAGTTCACAGTTGAATTCCGAGCACTGAAAGTGGTTTATTTCGCTACTTTTCAGTAGTGTTATAGATTCAGTTTTTCAATTAAATAAATTTATGTAAGTCTTGCATCATATTATCAGTTAATTTCATACATTTTATTATACATAATGGATAATTTCATTTTAAAGAAATCTCATTTTGATATTAATAATGAGAATACTGCTAGCACTGGAAGACTTGCAAATGGTGCAGAAGAAATAAAAATTGTGAAATCAGATTAAAATGTTAATAACTAGTAAAAAGAATACTTCTAATTAATATTATGTGACAAAGCTCACTTTGCATCATATAAAATTGCGGAGTTAGTAGCATTAAAGCCACACACAGTAACAGAAACGCATTTTACTTGCTTTCTGTGAAATAGTGACAATTATGTATGGGAAAGGAACAAAGAAGGAAATTATAAAAATTCCAGTATCTGATGATATGATTCACAGAATTAATGACATATCCTGGAACACTGGAAGAACTGTCGTGGATGAATTTGTTAACATGTCCTTTGCTTGATATGAGTGGCAAAGTACATCTATATGAACAGAAGATTATAAGTAAAGTTTAATGCTGCAAAAAAAATTTGAGGCATACAACTAGACAGGACTTATTTGATGTTGTATTTGAATATAAAAAATCATCATATCATCAATTTGTTAGTATTTGTACTGAAGGAGCAGCATCTATGATAATGTCTGTTAAAGGATTTGTGACTTTAGCAAGAGATGCCTATCCAAATATAATATTTGATCACTGTTTCTTGCACTGAGTACTTGTCATAAAGGTAATGCCTAAGAAACTGCATGAAGTATTGAATCAAGTTGTTTCCATGGTTAATTTTATTAAAATGAGTCTGATGAAAAACTGAATTTTCAAACAACTTTGTTCATTTATAGAAGCAGGTTTACAAATGATTCCCTCCCCCGCCCTCCCATATAGAAGTGAGGGTGTTATCATATGGAAAAGTTTGAAATCATGTATTGCAGTTAAGAAATTAACTACTTTTTTTTTAAGCAGAAAAACATGAAGCCTTAGAGAAATATTTAAAAAATGGTAACTAGTGAAATAATTTAGCATATTTGGGTAAAATTTGTGTTTACTTTAATGCTATCAATATAAGTATGCTAGGAAACAATATAAACATCTTACATCAACTGACAAATTATGTGCAATGAAAAAAACTTTTATTATGGAAGACATGTAAGATAAGGAAGCACAGAAATACTCCCTTCTGTGCAGAATACAAGCGAGACAATCATTTCTTTAATAATATTTTTTTTTTTGCTTATTGTTATTCTATTTTATTCTAAATGAAGGAGAACTGATATTGATACCTTCAGGTCATCAATTAATAGTGAAGTTCACCGAAAATACTCCTGGAAAATTCTGAATCTCTGTTAAAGATGAGTACCCAGTCTAGCAAAAAAAAAAAAAAAAAAAAAAAAAAAAGCACTAAACACATTTGTTTCATGACATTTGTCAAATTAGTAAACTACTGTAATATACAAAATTATTTGCAATTATAGTTACAAAGTTTTGTATTGAGAATTAAAAAGTGATATACTCCCTTCTGATTGCCTGGGTGATCCGTACTCGCGTGACCAATGTTGCAACAAGAGTTCAAAGAAATAAATACTGCATTGCTAGTGATGAGAGAACTTCAAATTCATAACAACATTATTATTATTATTATTATTATTTTCCATGTATATCATTCTGAAGTAGGCTTTTTAACAATGGCTAATATTGAAATAAAGAAGAGAGATGCGGAAGAGAAATTGAGAAGAGAGAGATGCAAACGGCTTTGTCATTTATTGGCTGAAATATTATGCCCAGTATTGCTGAAATCTGCAAATACACAAAGTTCAAGTATTGCTTAGATCTGAGAATTTTTTAAAGCATTGTTATCTTTAGTGATTTTGAAATAAATATGTTTGCATCAATCACCATTTTTTTGCTCTTATAAAAGTAACACTTTGAAGTAAGGTCATCAATCTTGTTCTCACAATGTGCATTCCTTATTTCTTTTAATGCTTTAATAATGTTAATAATGGAGTTGCTTTGGGCATCAATATTCTTCCCCCCCCTCATTATGCCATTTCAAAAATGTTGGTGACTCTTCTTTAGCTTATGATGTATTGCAAATGTTCTGCACACAAACACACCAAAAAAAAAAAAAAAAAAAAAAAAGTCAGAATGTTGTGTTTTCTGACTTCATCTAATCAATTATAACAGGCATTTATCAGACCTATTAGACATGTGCAAACAAAAATTGCTATTTGAGCATTTCAAAAGGTGAAAATGAAACCTAGAAAAATATGATGACCATAACAAACAGTTTGGCTTTGCAGATATGGCCCATGGTTTGCCATTTGGTTATTACACTCTGAAAGATAACACTTTTTTTTCTTGTTTCGTATTTTTTGATTGGTTATAGCCAATCAGAAATGTTTATGCGAGAAACCGTATTTTTGTATTATGAGTAATGCTCAAGTAGCATTATTCTTAATACAAAATATTAATCACTTACAAAATGTTAATCTTCTAGTGCATGCAGTAAGAAATTTGGTCAGAGAAAGAAAGAGGAGTAGAAAAATACTACTCTGTGGTATTAAATTTCTTTCATCCCATTTCCTATTGTAGGAATTTTCAGTTGCTGTGTAAACTGAAATGTTTGTCATAATGTTGACCAGGAGATGTTGTTAATCATAAGATTTCTGTTTTAATGTTGCCTCCAGGTAGTATTAGATTAAGATAGATCTCTAACAGTTAAAGAATTAAAACTGTTTAAAAAGTGAAATTTTAAATAATTCAGAGTAAATGATTATGTTCTAGAATTCCATTTCAGATACTTGTCTACTTTGTACTGTGGCTAATTTGTTACTTCAAAGAATATCTCCATCTCCTTTGGAATATCCAGCTCTTATGGTTATGGTATTAATAATTTTCTAATTTTGATTTATTATAGTAATGTAAAATGCAACAAGAGTATCATATTTTTAAGAGGAAATACAGAGCACATAATTAATTATATGAAAGAGCATGGATATGTATAATAACACATGAAATAATATGCTCTGTTAATGAATGTCTTTATTTTTATTTAATTATTAATTATTTTGAAATAACCATGTAGTGAGTAGTTATAAAAAGTTATTTACATATTATCAGGTTTGCATAGTTAATATGAGGAATGTATGTGGGATTAATATCAGAATAATAATTTTCTTTTGAATAAGGTTTATAGTTTAATATATTACTTAGAAATCAATAATACAAAAATTTCAAAATGAAAGTAATTTATTATTTTTGTGGCTTCATAAAAAATAATGACTACATAAAATAGTGGTACAGTTTGGAACAAATGTTCTGTATTGTCTCTTGAAAATATGTATTCTGAATATGCAATCATATTTTAAAAATTAATTTCAATTCTAAGTTTAAAACTTTTGTACCATTTTAAAGAAAATTCACATAAATTCAAAATATGAAAAAAAAAAAAAAAAAAAAAAAGATTGGCTCATAAAAATCCCAATTAAGCAATAAAAAATTAAAGCTGCTTCTCAATCTCTGTGTAGTGTAACGTCAGAACACCCGTTTTGGGTGCAAGAAAAGACAGGTTGTCTTTTAAAATATTTATTTTGAAAACTTAATAAGAAATTCTTGAATAAATATTAAAATAATTGAATCATTTCAGCCATAATTCATTCAAAGGCTGCTGATGCAGCAACAACGCTAAAATGCATCTTCTTTCACTCGTTTACAGCATCAAAAGCTCTTTACACAAAGCTCTCTCCTCGTTTTGTTAAAAACCTGGAAAGAGAATAATTAGTCCCTTATGTCTGGAAACCACACTAGGGGTTTTCCGCTGCACCTTTCTTCCAAAGGTCTGCTGTCCATTCTGTCACTGAGAAAAGATATTAAGCACCTGGAAGTCCGATGGGTGCATATGTCTGAACATCACAGTAGCTATAGTATATAGCTCTCTTCTACATCTGAAGCTGTAGCATTCTTTGGTGTCTTAATTTTGCCTATAAAAGAAGGATTATTATTTGTTTTAAAGTTTGTGATGTTGAAAATTTATGTTCGAATTTTTAATTTCTTATATGTTTAAAGAATAATGTTTTCAGAAGTAATATGCATGCTGAAATTATTGCATTGCATATTGAAGGATTATCTTGCCATCATATTTGTTATGAAATCTGGCTGTTAGTATTTGACAGTTAGTAGATGCATTAATAACTTCAATTTAACTAAAATTCTGAAGGTCATTGCGAAAAGAGATAACTTTCTTCTAAATTAATTGAAAAATTGCAAAGGCATGCCCAATTGCCATGTATCAATGAAGTTGCAAATACTGTCTGTCACAAAAAAAAAAAAAAAAAAAAAAAATATATGCACCCAGAAGAAATCAAGCCACAATGACAAAACACAGTAGGAATGTAGTCTGGTAAGAGATATATATGCAAATGAATTAAATTTCAACGCCAATGAGACATAAGTGCGCTATGTGCATATGTGATGCACAGCTGGGAGAGTTTAAAAGCATGATTGCTCACGATGTAGGGATATTCAAATGAAGTATGTCGACATCGATGGACGGTATTGTGGCTAAAGATACTTTTGAGATGTAACTGGTGGCAGTATGAACAGATGTTCGACTTCGAGAAGGGGCATATAGTAGGCATCAGAGAAGCAGTTTTGTCGAACAGACATATTGGCTGTCACCTCGGTCAGAGCGATATGGTAGTTGCTGGGTGTTGGCGACAATCAATCATGGAAGGGATAGTCTACTGTAACGAGGGTCAGGTTGTTCCAGGAACACAAATGAGTGTGAGGATTGCACAGTCATAAGAGTAGCCACTTCTGCACCAACAATGTCGCTAGCATCGATTCATGCCATTAACCACATTCCGGGCATCCGGTGGTATCAAGGGAAACAATTCAGAGATGACTGGCTGACATCCATTAAGGCACCTACCACAGACCCCACATCATAGGCTGTGTTAATTGGATTTTTACTGAGCTCGGGCTAGCTAGAATGTAACCCACTGGAGGCATCTTCAGTCTCAATACTGATGACCAATGCGCACACATGTAGAGGCAGCCAAGCCACCAGTTCCGTCCTGGCTGCCTTCGTACATGTCTGGCATTTGTTGTCAAGCAGCATATGGCCATTACATAAGGTGTGACAGTGTGGGAAGTGATTTTTTTTTTGGAACACATGATCATCTTTAGTCGTCCTTCAAGTCACTTTGACAACTCGCAGTTATGTTGATGACATTTTATGCCTATGCTATCAAATCGCCCAGGTGCCATTTATCAGTAAGACAATGCCCATCTATATACCGCATGACTCTCCCAGCAGTGTCTTCAAGAATATGATGTACTCCCATGGCCTACCAGGCCAACAGACCTCTCACTTATAGAGAATGTTTGGGACATGCTTGGAAGGCAACTGCAGCCATTCCGAAATTTTGGTGAATTAACTACCCAGTTGCAAAGATTATGGCTTGATCTTCTACATGGTAGGGGGTATAGTTGACCTACTTGATTTGATGCATGCCATGTTTTGGCTGCTATAGCTGCCAGAAATAGGATGTCAGTTTAAAGAATTAAAATAGTAAAGTAGGGCTAATTGAAGCTGTAACTTCATGCTGGTATCATCCAATTCCAATGAATGTTATTGTTTACAAAAACTTGTGGTAACAAAGTAATTAGAAAAGCATTAGTAATTAAAAATAGATCTACCAGTGACCTAACAGTAAGTCGTTGAACACTGGTAACTCGGTCCAGGGTTTGAATCCTGCCGAACAGGCTGGCTGCATGGGCATTTTCATGGTTTTCCCCATGTGTAACATATATACTGGCTAGTTCCTTTTAGAAAGTCTTCCACGAAGGCATCACTTCCCTTAGGCACATAGCTGTTGAGTGTTTTGCCATAATTAAATAAACTGGTAATTAAAAATCAAACTTTCCAGTTAAATAGTAATGATCTCTATGATTAAAAACCTTTCAAATTCCTTTGGTGGTAAAATGTTTGACATTCTATAATATTACCTTATTGTTTTCTTTTGAATTTAAAAATTATTTATAGTGTACAGTATTCGTAAAAGAATGTCTATATTCATTAACATTTAAATTAATCTTTGAAATGTGCTTAGAGGCTTAAATTGCATACTTTCATAAAGTATTACAAAACTTTTTCATTAAGTTATATATATAATCATGTAACATTTTTTTTTTATTTTATTAAAAATTTTCTCTTGGATTTTGTTTCTAAATCATTTGTGGAGACAAACTTATTCCATTTAATCATACAATAATTATGCTGTTACTGAATTATTTCACAGTGTAATATAATGAAATACAGGCATTGTATTGTGTGGATATATTTGCATATGAAGGTGCAATACTGCAAAATTTAGGAAAATGCATCCCCTTTTCTTTTCTTAGATTTTTTTTAAAATTGCAGATTTCTGTGACAGATTTGCAAGCATAATATTTATTGTTGCAATCAGTTTTACCTTTCATTTCTATTTTGAGGCCAAATAGATGAAGGCTGAACATTGTTAATTTTTCCTAGATTTAATTCCTGGTGAATAATTAACTACATGAATATAAGCGAGTGTCCCTTGAAATAAGATGCTCTCGAAGGTATCTTAGGCAGGTATCCCTCACATGATTTGCCATAATCAGTTAACTATATGTTTAAGGGCCTTCTAAAATTCAGAAATGTATTCTGTAAGTGTATAGTAAAATGAACTGTGGTGAGGGAGTTACTTATCTAAGCAAGTTACCTGTCTAAGGGGGGGATATAATAAATTAAGAATTAACTCAAAAGTGGTTAAAAAAATAAATGCTTTCATTAAAAATTTTGGATTTTCAATTTTGAGGTATTCTTCAAGTATTAATATTTGTTGGTTCCATAGCTGTTGATCATAGTCATGAAAATGATGTCTTTGTAATATTTTAATTCATTAAGTTTAGCAATCATTATTGCATAAAAATTACAGTTTTCTTGTAACTGAAATTCTTTAAGAATTAATACAATAATTAGAGTATTTTATTACAAAATTCCAAAAATGTTAATATTTAATGCTAATGCTGTCACTAAATCTACATGCAAGAAGTGGAGATTTAGCTATTAGCTAAGGAATATTGTAATGATCTTCTTAATATAGATTAAAAAAATTATAAACTATGGTTTTTATGTCTGTTCTAAAGAAGGTAAATTAAATCTAATGCTGAGTAGAAAGAAGCAAGACATTTTTTTTTTTTTTTTTTTTCTTTCCAAGTACTTACAGAAATATGTAATGGTTTAAACCAGCAATTCTCAACTGGTGGTACGCAAAGAAGCTCAGTCTAGAGTTTGAATCCTGGCAAACAGGCTGGCTGCATGGGCATTTTTGTGGTTTTCCATGTGTGTAACATATCCTCATGTGTAGCAAAGTATTTTAATTATAAATTCAATAATTAAAGACCCCCAACATCCTTTTCAGGTTTCTTCTCTCACTCGTAAATTAATAATTAATGTGATTTGAGTTTTGTTCAGCGTCAATAGCCACTCATAGACTTAACAATCTGTTTTTATTTTCACAAATACTCTTTTAGCCATAGATATAACAAAATTTGTCATAAATTACGTTTTTAAAAGGAATAATGGAAATGGATGTTGTATTTAATAGGAAATAATAATAAGTTCCTATAAAAAGATAATAGTATCTCATATATTCTTTTAGAGTTGATCAGTTTATTAGCGTGTTTACACTTTATGCCACCACCATTTCCTGGCTCATATTGCTATATTTCCAATTAGAATAATTTTTTTGCATCGGTTTCTGTCTCTAACAGCAGGTATTTTGTCTTCTTGTTGTTTTGTAGTCCTTACTTTTCTATGCAATTTGAGAGTGTTGTCATTTGTTTTTAAAGAGCTTGTAATATATATTGCATTTCAATATTTGTGAAAAATAATAAAACAAACCTCAATTTTCAAAAATGGAGCAATGGCTAAGATTGTCTAAGCGGAAAAGTGGTGATTCACAGTTGATGGATCCAGGACAATCTACTAGCACTAAGAACATTGAAAAGAAAAATTGTTTATAGTAAATATAATTAAGTTAACCATAAGTTATTTATCATTTGGATTTACTTGGAATGGAGATGAAATGGACCCTTACTTGTTTGCGGTGAACTATTATCCAATCAAAGTATGAAACCATCGTTTCTTAAAAGACATTTTGAATTGCAAGCCAGGTTAAAAGATAAATCTGAAGAATATTCTAAGAGGAAATTATCGGAGCTCAAAAATGGTAAATGAGTAATGAAAGTTTTTGTTACTTCAAGTGAAATAGCTTTGGAAGCTAGTTACCTAGTAAGCCTAAGAATTGCCAAGACTTGGCAGGCTCTCACTGTTGGGAAAAAAGCATATATTACCATCAGCTAATGATATTATTTTAACATTATTCAACAAAAAGTGGCTAATGAACTTAATAATATTCCGTTATCAAATGATACAGTAAAACAACAAATTAATAAAATGGCAAATTCCATAAAAGAGACTTTTATTCAAAAAATGAAACACAGTGAGTATTTCGCATTGCAATTAGATGAAAGTACTGATATAATGAACTTTGTTCAATTAGTAGTTTACATACGTTTCGAAGAAGATAAATGAATTTCCAAAAAGTATTTATTTATGAAGCTCTATGATAGAGCAACTGTAAATGAAATTTTCAAAGTAATTTAGAATTTTATCTCTATGAATGATATTCCTTGGATAAGCTCATTGCTGTATGCAGTGACAGAGCTCAGGCTTTAACAGGAAAACATTCCACTGTTATTTATTTCTCAAAAAGTCACACCTGAAACTAAATTAAATCACTGCTTCATTCATCATGGAACTTTAGTAGCTAAAACAATCCTCAAAAACCTGAAAATTGTGTTTTAGATCAAGCTGTGAAAATTGTTAATTTTATTAAAAGCCAAGCTTTAAATTAAGAATATTTCTGATTTTATGCCAAAAGATGGACAATGAACATGGAACGCTTTTGTTACATTCCAAAGTAAGGTGGTTATCCAGAGGCTAAGTATTAGATCGTCGTTTTGAACTTCAGTTAGAAATTCAAATATTCCTCTGTGACTCAAAAGTTTAAATTCCAAAAATATTTATATAGTGAATTATAGTTGGTGCATTTAGCATATTTAGTTGATATTTTGGGGAAGTTAAATGAATTGAATTTAGGATTACAAAGAAAAATTTTTAATTTATTTACCACTAGAGGTAAAATAAATGCAGTGATGAAAAAACTCGAGCTAATAATCAAAGAAAGGCTAATAATGTTTTTAACTTTTTACAAGTTTTAGAAAGTTTTCTAACCAAAAATAGTTTGGAAATAAAAGAAGAATTAGCATTCGACATTAAAAATCATTGTGTTTTATTGATAAATAATTTCAAAGTGTATTTTCCCGAGGATTATGAAAAGAAAAATTAGATTAGAAATACATTTTCTTTAAATGTACATGAAATTTTTCTCTTGAAGGTGTTGGTGTATTTAATTATGGCAAAGCACACTAAGGCTATCTGCCTAAGGGTAGGGATGCCTTTGTGGAGGACATTCTAAGGGAAGCTGTCTCTTATACATGTTACACATGGGAAAAACCACGAAAACACCCATGCAGCCAGCCCGTTCGCAGGATTCAAACCTTGGATCGAACTACCAGTGTTCAGTGACTTTACTGCTCAGCAGCTGGTGGGCTTTTCTCGTGAAGGAAAAGAACAATTGATAGAAATTTCCTGTCATCGAACTCTAACTGAAAATTTCAAAAATAATACACTTGTTAACTTCTGCCTGAACCGAAAAAAATGAATTTAAAGGCATTTCAAACAAAGCTATTAAATTTTTATTGCCTTTTTGCACAGCCTATTTCTGTGAACAAGGATTTCTTCTATGTTATGTTTGAAAAATAAATACAGAACAAAATTAAAAGTGGATCCTAATTTGCGGTTAAAACTAAGTGAAATAAGATCAGACATAAAGAAATTGATCTTTCTTAAACAAGCCCATAAATTTTGTTAATTTATAGTAACCAATTTTTTAATCTAATATTTTTATGTGTGCATATTTAATACAAATAGCAAACAGGTTGTGCAAATGGCAAATAATAATAATAATAATAATAATAATAATATTTCTATTGAAAAATTAAAAAATAATCATTGTAAAATGTTGTAGTGGTCCTTAAGTTTTTCCATTTTTGTTTAGATGGTATGCATTAGTCAAAAGGTTGAGAACTGCTGGTTTAGACCATATGGTGTTTAATAAATTAATTAGTCATAAGCCTCTAACAACAAATTTGAAAAATTTTCTTGTATAACAAAATGTGAGGTTTTTCATATTTTATTATAGATAGAAGATTTTGTATCTACTGTTTTTTGTATACACAATACCACAGATGTGAAACTGGAATCATCTCCATGTTCATCAGAGGTAATTGCTCAATTTTAAGATATTTAACTGTCTTTATTTTTTGTGTAAGAATTTTAATTTATTTCATGATGTTATTATGTTTTGTTAAAGTAATACCATAATATTCCTTTTTATGGCCAATTTATTAGGTTCTGCGTAGCTTTGTAACAGCTTTGTGGAAATTTTGTGAAGTAATGAAAGAAAATGATACTAATTTTAAGCATATTCTGAAAAAAGGATTCCACTTGCTTCATATAATGTCAAATGTCTTTCAAAATTTTAAAGAAAAGAGGACTTCATGTGAAGATTATTATATATTATTTATTAGCAAGGTGCTTACATTAAGCAAAGAAGATCCAGAATTCAAGGAATTCCATGGTAAGTCATTTGATATTTTAAAATATATTTATTTAATTTACCTTAAATAATTTGACTTTTGACTTCTTTTATTAAAAAGTGTTCAAAATATTTTGGAAATAATTAATTATGCAGAATATAAAACTGAACTGCTATAAAAAAATATAGAATTTCTTAAAACCTCAGAAATTCTCTTTGCTTGACCTCATTTCCATTTTTAACTTTGTAAAAGATTTTAAAGACATTTAGGAATATAGTGTCATTAATATTGTATATATGAAAATAATATTAGTGAAATGATATATAAAATTATAGTAGTTCTTATATAATGTAACATGAAAGGCCTCAGGAGTGCGAACCTCTTTTGGAAAAATAAGGTTGCAGGGGCAAATCCATTTAACATTGAGGTAAATGATAAAGCCAAGCTGGTGATGGTTTTAGCAACTAATTTTTGTCACCAAACTTTGCGACATTTTGGTTCGATCTGTGTATAACTGTAACTGTACCTGGTCCTAAATGTACCCAGGGCCTGATTAAGGCAGAGGCATATGGGGCAGTTGCCCCAGGCCCCCACATGAGAGGGGGGGACGAAGTTGAATAGAAAGTTTATTATAAAAATTTAAATGCCTCCATAAAATTTGGTTCTTCATTACTGAAGTAGTGAAGCAGAGGGGGCCCCCAAAGAAGTTTTTGTCCCAGTCCCCATTATGCTAAATCAGTGACTGATTTAGCATAATGGGGACTGGGTATATAGAGATATTTAGCCATTATGCCATTTAGCATAATGGCTAAATATCTCTGATTTAGCATAATACCTATAACTATATTTGTAAATTTCCTGTACCTTTGAGAAATCAAAAGATAAAAAGGTACAGGAGAGAGGTACAGGAAATTTCTTGACAGACAGGGGAAACTATATAAGATCAGAGAGAACATCATTTCAAAGTTTAGCTCAGAGTATTGAGAGATCACTCTTGAATGAATGTGAGCTTATGCATTGAAGCTTTTTATATTGTTTTGTGTTTAACATTCTTAGTAGTAGTTTGTAACTACTGTTTGTGCTTTGTCATACTGAGAAGAGCTATGTGAATACTTTTGTGAAAAACTCCATAACTGTAAACTGTTTCCTTTGGGAAAATAAATTTTATTAACCTATGATCGGTTCTGCATGCATTCAATCCATTACAAACCCATACGCAGGTAAAAGTTTTTTATGTCGGAAGTGGAATTAAATTCTAGTGACAACAGCAATGGAGAGCAACTAAGACACCTGGTGACAGCCTTTGCTGCATTCAGAGAAAAGAAGGAAGTAGCCATCAAGTCCATTAAAAGAGATGAAAATGGACCAAGAAAGAGTGGAAGAAGATATCAAATCAGTTCAAGGAAACATATGAGGGTCCTTCAAGAAAAAATTCAAGCAGGTCAAGAGGAAATTAAGAGAGAAATTATTGCCATAATAGAAAACAAATTGAGGTTATAGAAGGCAGAATAGACAGAGTTGAGGATAAAGTTGGAAAAATTCAAGAAAGAGTTGCAGCTGTTAAACAGCTAATTGAAGAATGAGTTTCTGCTGTCCAACAACAAATAAAAAAAAAAAAAGTTTCTGCTGTTGAACAACAAATTGATGACAGAGTTTCCTTTGCTGTCACCAAGGAAGTTACATCTTGAAGAAATCCATAGTGACAGCTGGACACATTTCTGATGCCTTTAGATTCCTACCTATGTCTTCTCGTCCCTCTCTAAAGCTATCGCATGTGATGGAAAGACCTCGTGGCAAGTGTCAAAGACTCAGTTGTCTGTAGTGGCAAATGCAAATGGATGCAAAAAACCAGAAGCTAGATGTCAAAAGCTCTGTCTGGCACATTAGAACTACAATTCATGAAGAAGTGTTTAAAAGACTGTAGCAGGCTTCACTTAATGTCTCGTCAACAGAACTACTCATGTCCAGGAGCCAGTGCTCGTGTAGATGATTTAAACAGGCAAGTCAGTGCCTTGAGTTCGAATAGGAGTAGCAACAAGCTGACACTAAATTAGTGGAATTGTAGTGGTGAAGGCCATGTACAAAGGAACTGCAGTGTACGGAGGCTAAGACTGCTCCCAACATTAAGGCTGAAAACAAATTAGGAATCTCATGGAATGGAGGTTATCAGATATTGAGAGGCTGCACTTTAAAGTGTTTCAGATTTCTGCAGTCAGTGGCAGTAGTAATTCATCATAGGACATATAAATGGAGTTCCTTGCAATATGGCCATCTATAGAAAAGTCAACATTGCCTTTATTTGAAAGGATTTGATTCAACATTTAGAAGGTAAATTCTTTTGAAAGCTGCCCTTCGTTAGCCTCCAAAGTGAGTCCAGTGATAATGTGGGTATTGATGAAACAGGCCCTTGCATATTCAGATTACACTTAAGGAAATACACGTTTCATCCCCTTGAACTTTAAAAGTAATGAACTGCATTCTGCCTCTGAGGATGTATCCCTATTTGGAATCAGAGATAAATACATCCACTGAACAATAGCTTAAGGCAATACCACAGTACCAGCAAGAATGGAATTTTTACTACCTGGTTAGTTATTAAAAACAGAAATTTCCAGTACAAATTAATAGAATGTCCTAAGAAATGTAATACCCTGACAGGAGTACTTGTAGCCTCAACTCTCGTCGACTTACAAAGAACAGTCATCCCAGTAAGAGCAGCCAACATAAATGGTAAGGCGTAACTCATTAGGAAAGGTGAAGTGGTTACACTATGTACTCCAGTAGCCTGTGTTAAACGAGCCAGTAGTCTACCAATCTTTGTGTTCAAGTGCCTAGCATCTGAGATATTGCAGAATGTGCAACTAAGCTATGAAGAAAGGAGTGCTGCCAAACATGTCATTCAAGAATTTCGAGATTTTTTTCTCCACTCATCTTCTGACATAGGTCAAGCCAATATGCCACAGCATGGAATTGATAAGTAAGATAATCCACCAGTCAGATAACATCAAAGATGTCTACTGGTTACTAAACAGGAAGAGGTAGGAAAACTTATAAAGGACATGCAAGAAAGCCCTTAGCAAGTCCCTGGGTCTCTCTCATCATTCTGCTCAGAAAGAAAGTTGGTTCAAGTGGATTTTGTCTTGACTATCACTGTCTAAACAACATCATGATGACAGCTACCCTTTTCCTAGAATAGATGACATTCTGGTCATTCTATCTGGAAGCAACTGGTATTCAGCACTTGATTTAAAGAGTGTGGATATTGGGGAGGGGGGTTGTAAAAGTACATCCTGATGACTCAGAAGAGACTGCATTTACTTATGGGCAAGAACTTGGCAGTTCAAGGGGATGTCGTTTGTATTACATAATGCACTAGCAACAGTCAAATGCCTCATGGAGACCTTTCCGAGAAATTTTCTCCTTTCCTTCCTGTTTGATATACTTTGATAACATCATCATCATTGAGAAAAGTCTTGAAGACTATTTAGAAGATACTAGGAATGTGTCTCAGAAATTGAAGGGAGCTAATCTAAACTGAAGTCCTACCAAAAGTAAATTGTTCAGACAAAAAGTGACTTACCCTGGATATGTCATCTCTGCCGAAGGTGTGAGTGCAGATCCAGAAAAAGTGTCGAAAATCAATGATTGGTGATGCTTTGAAAATCTCCATCAGCTGAGAAGTTTTTTGGGGCTTTACACCTCAGAGATTTGTGAAAGACTTTTCTTCCATCTAAACCACTTCACAGACTGACAGTTCTTGTGGACAAAAAAATTCAAGGATACATTTAATGAACTGAGTATGTTTAAGCATCTGTGACCATACTGACGTATCCTCAGCTTCAAAAACCATTTAATCTTGACACAGATGCAAGCAGTAGGAGTTTAGGTACTGTTTTGTCTCAAGAAATAAAGGGTCAAGAATGTGTCATAGCATACTGAACAAATGTCTAAACCAGAGAGTAATTACTATGTCACCAGAAGAGAGTTGCTCGCCATAGTTAAAAATCATAGAACATTTTCATCATCATGTCTATGGCAGAACATTCTTCCTATGCATAAATCATGTTGACCCGGCTTTTAAATTTCAAGAATCCTGAAGGCCAACTAGCCACTTTGATAAAAAAAAAAAAAAAAAAAAAAAAAAAACTCCAGGAATATGACAGCACTTTCTAGTATTGGAAGGAGTCATCACACGGTAGTGCCAACGTACTGTCTGGTAGACCCTGCCCAAAAAGCAACTAATATTGTTCTAGGGTCAAAGTGAAATATAAGCTACTTAATCTGGTCATACATCAAGTTAGGAACTTCAACATCATATAGCCCTATACCCATGGAGTGTCAAAAAAGTCAGGAAAGACCAGTTAGAAGATGGTGACATTAAACCGTTATTTATCAAGAACATCTGATACCTACAACATCCCGGATCCCAGACTTGCTTAAACAACTATGTAAGAGTCTGATAGGAGGCCACTTCGGAATGATGAAGACTTTGCTTAGGGCTCGAGACTGCTTCTACTGAATTAATGCATGAGCTTATGTTTAAAAGTGGTGCCAGTCTTGTGATGCTTGTGTGGTTTGTTAAATACTGAAGAAACACTGAGACTTCTGCCACAATCTGCTGAATGCAACAAATATATTCTCATTGTCAGTGACTTCTTTACAAAGTGACCTGAAGTGTATTCTATCTGTGATCAACAGGCTATCACGCTAGCAGAGGTAATAAAGCAGAACTCAGTTTCTAGGTTTTGAAGTGCCTCTTCAATTACATTCCAATCAAAGAAGAAACTTTAAAGAAGTCTGTAAATTACTCAACATGGACAAAACCCAAATGACACCTTTCCATCCACAGTCAGACAGTATGATAGAGGGGTTTAATCGAACCAATTGCAGTGTTTTCCATGACACTACTAGCTATTCCCCATCCCAGATGCTCCTCAGTCATGACCTTCAGCTTTGAAATGATGCACAGTTTTGTACGAGAGTGAGTCAGCTTGGGGATGGAGAAGATGAAGACCTGATACCACATGAGAGCTACTAGACA